AAGTTTCCCACTGCGCCAGTATTGAGATACGTTTCACCTCGTAAATTGAGTTTGACTATCAATATTATAGAGTCATGGAAGCGCTTTTATATCAGTGCTGGGACGCTGGGAAGTCTACAAGGGCTGCTGACTTACACCAGCTAACGTAAAATCGTTCTGGCCTATATTGAGAGGTCGTATTTGGCGGAATATAGTGCTTTGAATGCATTGCTATCGCTGCGATTTTGGTGCTTCGTTGCGGGTCGCATCGGCTCAGAAACATTGAACATGACCCATCTTGCGATTTCCTGCGTCCTGCCGTAATGGTACGACGCACGCCTCGTCAAGCGTCGCCAGCCAATGAGAGCGACTTCTTCTTCCGGACGCTCTGGCTTTCTTTTTTAATTAGAGCGCCAAGCCAGGCGAACATGTGAAAAGTTTGGCAGTAGAATCTACTGCCAAACTCATCGCGTGTCGCACCGAGTCCCCTTCGAGAGGGGTAGGGGTCAGAGTTTGGCAGTAGATTCTACTGCCAAACTTGGTGTTATACTTGAAATTTGTATACTTTTCCTTAATATAGAGATGTATGGAACCTCCAATAGGGTTAAAAAGTCCGATTAAAATTATGCAACGAGCAGAATTAGCGCCCTAGATCGGTAGGCGTTTCGAATAAAATCTACAATACGAGTTCTGCTGTGAACGCGGACTCGACGTTGTCTGGATGTACCTCTTCACAAATTGGTATTTCTTCGAAATATCTAATATCTATTTACAAGTATCCTTAAACGTAGGTACGCCCCGAACAAGTGGCGATTGTGGGCTCGGTCGTGGTACGAGCATGGTGTGTCCACATTGCGGACTAGCATGATGGCCGAATCGCACTTTCGCGTCTTCAAGGACAAGTTTCTCGCCAAAAGTTCACCAAAGTCCGTATCGACTACCTCACGCACATCATCGCAGTCCAATGTCCACAGTTGGTACGACGCGAAGTTCAAGCGTGCCTCCCGCCCGTACGGCTACGACGACCCCGCGGCGTGGGAGAACCGGTTCCACGCAGAATGGGCCGCACATTGCGCGAAGATTCTCGCTCCTCTTAAGGAACCGGCCAACAATGTCCCTTCTTCGACCAAACAACCAAGTTACACCACCTCATTGCAGGATTGGACGTGCTCGTGCCCGTCGTACCCGTACTCCGAGTTTCTCATGTGCAAGCATCTCGTCCAAGCTTACATCGTCGACGTGCACGGCGTTGCATGGAAGGAAAGTGTCAATCTAGAAGCCTGTGTACGACAATAGATCCATCGTCGAAGACATCCTCATTTTGCATTTGTAGCTGACGGCTCCCAAGTACAAGGTTCGTACGCACAGAGTCCCGTTTTGGATATTCCCGTCCAGCCGCCAGGGGCTTCTCAAGCTCTCGTTTGGTGTCGATCTCCCTCCGCCGCAACCCCGCCGCCAATGCAACACATCAATCGCGTCCTAACGCAAGCTTAGCGACGAAGCAGTCGCTCGTCAAGAATCCGAAGACGCAAGAATTGCCCAAGTTCTGGAGTCCGGGCCTGAAACCTGGTCTGTTTTTTACGCACTCATGCGCAGATCGAAGGGCGACCCCAAGCAATTCGAAAATTGCATGAAGCCGCTCGCATCGATGATGGAGCTGATTGCGGCGGACGAGCAAAGGACCCGCGAGCGGACCCGACGGACGAATGACACGCTTACGTCTCTGACTAAATATATGTATAATAATGGACGGCTTTCTCTAACTGTGTTGACGGTGCACTCAAACTCTGTTCTAAACCGCTGGATAAACACAAATTACACTGCTTCGGTGATTGGATTGGAGAGCGTCCACTTCCGACACCTCTTTACGCATTCTGACACATTATTACAGTCCGGTTGCTCGCTGGGTAAAACCCGAGTTTCACCCCGACCTCGAAGTTGACCTTCGAAGATACCGCTGCATCTTTCTTTCTGGATGCATGACGATC